GTAAAGCAGAAGTATAACGAGGCATTGATTTATCGTGTCTCAACTTCATCTCAAAGTCCTTCGCACTGATGTCAAACAATTGCTCTACCATATTGTAAATATCATTTATGTGGCGTTCGGAAATTTCCTTTTTAATTTGAAAGGTTTTACTTTTGCACAAAGTTTTGTTTTTGCTGTATAGAGATTTAAACGTTTCCACTATAATTCTTTCAGAAATCAAGTAATTACTGAAACCATTAGACTTCCAAATATTTACAATTTGTCGGAGTAAACAGTATTTTTTGATATTTGAATTACAAATCTCGTCTCTCTCTTTCTACATAACATCTTCTCGTGCTCGAGAACATGAAAAGTTTGTTTTGAAAGGCTTGTATGGCTTGAAGTTAGGAACAAGTAATATTGAAGAATACTTCTATTCGATAGAAGTTGGTCTGTAGGTAGATAGGTTAAAGGCAAGTTAAGCAGGTAAACATACCTAGGAGCGTTATAACTAATTTCGTTTATTTTCCTCCCTTTGATTTTCAAAATTTTTTTTTGAGTCACCCTTATGTGCATATTGGTATAAAAAAAGCAAAAACACTTTAAATCTTTGTTTCCATGATGAAGATTTTGGTCTTTCAGCAAAATATGATTAGTTGCAAAAAAGGTCTTTTTTGCAACTAGTCACGGTAAACAACCTTGTGATGGGATATGTGGTACAGTCAATCGTTCAGCGACACTAGCAAGCTTGCAAAAAGATACTGATAATCATATTCATCTCCACAAGCAATGTACAAATATTGCAATAAAAACTTTAAAAGTGTACATTTCATTTATATATCATTTGAGGAATTAACTTTGGTGAGAAAACTCTTAAGGAACGATTGGATACTGCAAATAACATACATGGAACGCGTAGTCACCACCAGTTTATATCTCTTGGTTTTCAAAAGGTAAAAAAACAATCATTTAATATACCTTTTATTATCATTAAAAAGCGTGCATAATTTTTATTGATAAACTCGAATAAATTTTTTAATTGCATGGAATCATTGTCGAAAATATTTTTGCTTTAATTTAGACATTTTGGACAATTTTCTTTTAATACCTTTAATAAAACATGTTAAAAAAATTTAGTTAAATGGCATAAATGCATACATTGCTACTTTGCCTAGATGAACGCAAAGTTATGCAGTGTTGATGAAGATTTTGCTTTCATTCATGACTTTGGAAACATCCTTGTAACAACTGTAAACATAGTAACAGGTTTGTTAGTCTGTATTTCCGATGAGCAAAAGAGGTAGATAGGAGTCAATGAAAACGTTAGTCAAGAATAAAAAAATGTGATTGTCATATTTATGTTTCCAAATGCTGGGTTCCAGATGTCCACATCCTATGCAAAGTTGAAGTATCGACTACAAAACCAGGACTTTGCTACTATTTAGCCAAAAAAACCATTAAAAAATTTATTCCTAAAGAAAAACAGATTTTTATATATAAACGAGTCTGATATGTCATATACATACTATTTTTAAATCTTTTTTTTTTTCTGTACAAATTATAACTAACGTGAATAAAATGAATATATAAAATAACTTAAATTGAATATTTACTACAAGTTTTTCTATACATTATAATTTTATTTTTAACTTATAGAAACAATTTCTATTTTGATTAATTTGAAAAAAGTTGGGATAGGTTGCCTGATTTTTAAAAGATCACAAAGTTTTGTGTTTTTATTAAATCAAGTAAACGTAAGGCCAAAAAAAAAGTGTTTGTAATGTTGATATATATCTTATCCTTAAGAAAACAAGAATTTTTTTTTTTTTTCTACCAGTTAGATTTTTTTTATAGGTATAACTTTCAATGTCCTTTTTTTTATTTTTATTATTAGGTAATTTTTATGAATCCTAGAACAACGAAATTGCCTTGTGTTGAGAGATACAAAACTAAAGTTTTTGGACAGCATTGCAGCATTACAAAGAGCATAATAGCAGGGTAATAATAAACGGAAACACTTTTCGCAGTCTTCCCTCTTCATTTTTCTGTCAAAATCAAATAAACTTAAAGTAGCAGTACTTCCTAAACGGATATGAATTTTATATAAAAATTTAAAGTCTTTCCTGAATTAAGTCTTTAAACCTTTGAGCCAATTTATTAAATTTTATTTTTTTGTATTAAAAATCATTTTAATTTCCTATTTTATTAGTTTTACTTCTTTGTTATTAAAACTTAGTTTTTTCCGCAACGCTGCAAAACTTGCAAACGTTTATGACGAAGTTGTCTAAAATAAAGTTTTTGTGTTGACATATGTGACAAAAAACAACTATGTGATTCCTTAGAAGACTTGACGATGGTTTAAAATACAGTAATCAGGACAGTTTTTTTTTTCTATAGTTTTGTTGTATACATGTCAACATTATTTATTTGATATCTTCAATAAATTAGTCTTTTATTTAGCCTTTATTTTATTTACATTTGAAACTATGTTGCACGAATCATAGACCTATCATAGTTTCTGTATTAATCAGAATGTTCACAGCATAAAGTTTCCATTTCTAGCCTATCTTCCTGCTGTTCTTAAACGAGCTGTTCTTTTGATGTCATTATGATATAAAGGCCTTTATTATATGTAGTATATATGGGTTTAAGTGGGGGAGAAGTTAATCTAACAGACACAAAAAATAATTTTATGGCTAATTTAAAAAACTAATTTGTAAATAAAAAATTTAATTTAAAAAAGGTTAGTCGGTTTGGTTTATAATTTACCATAAATTAAAATTTATTACTTAAAATTATTATACATAAAATTTATATTATTAAAATTTATTACTTAAAATAATTATACTTGAAATAAAAATATTGAATAATATTGAAATAAAAACATTGAAATAAAAATAAAAAGTTTTAATTAGATAAGAAAAAAATACTCTTTTAGACAAAAAAGAGAAAAAAAAATTTATGGTAGATGCTTTCGTAAATTTTCAATATTTTTAGCATAACAAATTAGTTTGCAAATAAATAATTTTTTTTTAACTGTATTAGTGCATATATTTGCATATATATACTGTTTAAATGCATTTATTTGCATATTTATACTTAAAAAATAGGTTAAAAAATATGTTAGATTCAACACCATAAAAAATGAATTTTATTAACAAAAAAAGAAAAATGTTCATTATTACCAATTTTTGGCAATATTTTTTTGAAATTTTCATATAATTTTGCCTCACTTGAGACCGATTATGATAAAATAAAAAAATAGTAAATAACAAAATAATTAATGAAATTGCTCTTATATAAGGAAATAGTCATAACAGTATATAAGGAAATAGTCATATATATAAATCTGATATATAAGGAAATAGTCATAACAGTAAAAACAAATTTTTATATGGAAAAAAAGTTGAAGCAATGACCAGAAAAATATTATGCATATAGAACATATTTATCTGAAGTTTAAAAAATATATTGAAATGTTACAGTCAGATTTTTAGAAAATTGATTTCAAATAAATAAACAAAACTATGATTTACACTAAAAATGTATCAAGTAAAAATACAGCTTTAGCGTGCAAAGATTTTTGTTACCTCTATTTGATTATATTTTTAAGAAATTTTTGTATTATTTTATTGATTTACGTTAAAAATAAGGCTATATCATTGACTTTTCAGAAATTAATCAACAAATAAACTGTTGCCATATAAAATACTCTCTGTAGTTAAGAACCGTAGTCATTTTAAAAGTTCAAAAGTTTTTTTGTATTTTCTTACGCATCATTACCTAAACATAGCGCTTTTTACTAATATCTAAACGACCGTGATTGCGTTTTATGTGCTTTTTGAACCATAAATTTTTTTAATGAAGTAAAAATTCCTTTTTACTTCAATAACAAGTATGTTGTTTTTATGAAAAAAAAGGCTTTCTTCACTTCTCAATATTGCAACACACCTAACTTGTCAGTATACCATCATACGAAGAAGTCTTCATTTTTATTTAAACAAGCTATCTTTGCCTTTTACATTTTTCTTTGTTGATTGAGTTTCATTTGTTTGCGAAATTTTTTTGTTGTTTAAGGTATGTTGTTTGCGCAATAAGTGTTGCTTATTGTGTTGTTGTTGCTTTTTATTTATGTTTATACATATACTTTTTATTTTGTTTCATATATATGTATAATATTACTTGGTTGGTTTATGGATTAAAACTCACAGAGTGAGACATGATCTCAGCTTATGTTTGAATAAATGAAGAAACTGTTGTAAATATTTTGTATTATTGTATTATATTATCAATATTTTGAACTATGAGCAAATATAGTTAAGCATTAAACCAGTAATTTTAAGCAGGTAAAGAACATAGATTAAAGATAATAATATACTTGTTCATAAGATATCATTTATCCGATTTTTTTTTTATGGTTTTCTAGCATTTAATAAAAAAATGACTTTAGCTTTGAAAATATATTCGTTTTATAGGGCCATTAAAGGTTCCAACCTGGTTCGAAGACATTTTTTGATTGATTCCATATTTATACCCCTTCCCCACCTCCTTAATGGCTTTTCAAAGTTATATATGTTTTAAATAAAATTTTAAAAAAAGTTGAAAATAAGTTTTTATATGTTTATTTCTTTGATAGTTCGTTTCAAATGTCTTCAATTGGATAAGTTACCATAGTTACCAATTGGAAAAAATTAAATCTGTAGACTTAACTGCTGATTTGTCCCATATTAAAAGCATTTCGAATAATTTTTGAAAAATTATTTTTTTTAATTGAAAATATCAAACTTTGTTTAGTTAAACAATATAATGATCCGTAATAAAAATTCCAGGGCTCTTACTTAACCGTGCAAGTGCTGTCAAGAGAGAGCAAGATAATGAGAAAAATAAAGATTCACTGAAAAAGTTAGGCTGGTTTGCTTTATACTCATACCAATAAAGTTAGTATTTAATATTACTGTTAGTTTTAATATTTTGCTTTTAACTATTTTTTTCGTCTATTGTTCATAAATGTTGCCTATTATAAATAATGAAGCAGTAACGAAGAGCCTTCACCGCTTTCTACAAAAACAACTGCATTGAATATTGAGAACGAATCAGGTATCTATAATTAATCAAGCAGAGTTTTGTACACTGCGTAGTTGTTTTCAAGGTTTGTTCATACTAAGTATATCAAATGTTATATTTAGGTGAAAGCATATTAGGCGATTGTGAGTCAAATTACTCAACGAACACTAAACAGAAAAGTATCATTAATTTTATGCCTACCAATGAAAGTAAATGTTACGACCAACAAAAAGCATATTTGGGTGATTCAGGTATAGGTTTCGCAATACTTTTTATGTTGACTTATGTATTTTTTTTATTTTATATATTTATAATAACTATTAAATTTATATTTAGACGAAACCCTAGAAAATGATCCGGCACTGTGGCCGCCGATTCTGAAGCAATGTGAAAGGGCCGAAATAATTCGGAAAGGTTCTTCTCTTTTACTCGATGTATTTCCCCGCGATAAAAATTGCAAAAATAACACCTATTTTCAAATCTGGCAATGAGACCAGTATTTCAAACTACAGACCAATCTCAGTCTTACCCTGCTTTTCTAAACTAACTGAACCCATTATGTACAACAGACTTTATAAATATTTATCTGAAAATAAAATTTTATATAATAATCAATACAGTTTAAAAAAAAATCACTCTTCTGACCATGCAATAATTGAATTGGTTAAGCATATATCAAATGGTGAATGCTATACAATAGGGTTTTTTATTGATTTATCTAAAGCTTTTGATACAGTAAATCATGAAATTCTTTTAAAAAAATTAGAAAACTATGGTGTTAAAAATCAAAGTTTACTTTGGTTTAAATCATACTTAACTAACACAAAGCAATTTGTAATTAAAAAATCATAAGACTCAAAAAACAACTCAATAACTTGTGGAGTACCCCAAGATTCTATTTTGGGACCATTACTGTTCTTACTTTATATAAATGACTTATATTTATCATCAAAAGTATTAAATACTATCTTATTTGCAGATGACAATAATTTGTTTTATTTTCACAAAGGTATTACTGTTCTTTTTAATATATTTAACGAAGAATTAGAGAAGATCAACGAGTGGTTTATAAGTAACCGACTATCATTAAATGTATAGAAAACAAAGTTTATCTTATTCCATAAACCTAGTAAAGCCAAAAATATTCCTCTTAAACCTAATCTTTTAACCAATAATTTGACTATTGACATATTTTGACTACAAACTTTCTGGGAGTGCTCTTAGATGAAAAATTGTCATGGAAATTTCATATTAAATATATTGAAGGTAAGATCTCAAAAAATATTGCATGTTATACCGAACAAAACGTTTTTATAATAACGAGTCTTTAAAAAATTTTTAATTTTTGTTGATACATGGCATCTTTCATACTGTAACATTTCCTGGGGTAGCACTAATCACACTAAACTCAAAAAAAATTATTGTAAGCAACAACATGCTTGCAGGAGAGTATTTGGGGCAAATAGAAAAACACAATGCTAAACTCTCTTACGTCAGCTTGGAGCTTTAAATATTTATAAACTTATTATTCATCAAGTAATGTTACTTATGTTTAAAGCAAAACTTGAATTTTCTCCAGTAACATTTCAATCCTACTCTAATGAAATCTCCCATAAATATCCAACCAAATTTTCAGTGAATAAACTTTGTGGTTCCCATACACCTTCTTAAATTAAGTTCGTACCAAATTTAATATCGGGGACCTTTAGTTTGGAAAAAATTTCTTCCAATCTTTAGTAAAAAACAAAACTTCGTTTTAAAATGCACTTTGCAAAGTTTTAAGGATGATTCAAAACGGCATTTACTGAACATGGAATTCGATATATTAGATTTCAAATACCTTTTTTGAAAACAATTTAAAGGTTTAAACTAAATTTAAAAATAAATTAAATTAAAAATAAATTTAAAATAAATTAAATTTTTAACACTTTCTATAGCTTTTATTAAAATGGTTTCGAACCATTAGTATAAAAGATAACAAAATAAAATTGTCTTTTTCGTTCATATTTTTGATAATATTAAATAATCAGCCCAAATATTCACATATACTACTTTTTTTATTAATTAAACAACGCATTTTATTGTGTGTTTTTATAACTTTCATGATTTTCTGTTGTTTTTACTTTTTTATTTTTAAAATTATTCTGCTGGAAGATTGTTAGCAACAAATTATTTTATTGTTGAAGTATTTTTTTTTTTTGTATTTATACTGTCTTTTTGACTTTTATCATTTATTGTGCATGTAAATTTTTGTGTAACGGGGCTCGGTGATAAGACAACCTGTCTTCTTCTTGCTCCGGCCAGGATTTTCTTTTATTGGAATTTCATTTTTGTAATATTTATCAACGGCAAAATAAATAAATAATAATAAAAAAAAATACGGCAATTAAACAAACATTAGAGTCTGAGAAAACGAGGTGCCGTGAAATGTTGCTGTATTTTGGATTTAACATTGTTTCTCTCATCACGAAACATAGCGTTTAGAGGTAAACTTTATTTTTACTTAGCTTTTGATATTTATTGTATAAGCAATTTTTTATTTAGGAGAGCACGAAAGTGGCAATTTCCTAGGAGCTCTAGACATGATTTCAAATCACAACAAAACGTTAAAAAACCATCTAGAAAACGTACCAAAAAGAGGAACTTGAATGCAAGCACACTACTTCTCATTAGAATAACAAAATGAATTCATACGTGAGTGTGCTTCATTGATTCAGTGTGCCCTTTTAAAGGAAGTGAGAGAAGCTGGATACTTTACAGCCATTATTGATGGAACCGCGACGTTTCACAAACTGAACAGATCACTTTTATTCTTCGCTTTGTTTTTTTCAGCTTCAACAAAAAAAACTAGGAAAAAGATCATTTTCTTTGCGTTAAAGACATAGAGAAAAAAAAAGGAGTGGATATTGCAAAACTATTTTGTAATGTTTTAATAAAAGTAAATCTTGACTTGCAGAAATGCCGTGGCCAAGATTACGATAACGGCTCAAATATGGCTGGAATTTACGTTGGAGCACAAGCTTTATTTTTACAAAAAAATCCATTAGGCCTCTATATTCCTTGTAGTGCCCATAGTCTTAATTTAGCTGGAGTACATGCAGTTGAATCTTGTAATGAGATGAAGACTTTCTTAGGTAATATCCAAGCTCACTACGTTTTTTTCAGCTGCAGTCTGAAGAAGCTGGGTAGAAGATTTTCCAGTTAAGCCAATAGCAAAACGACCACGTGAAATTATTACTGCCTTTAATCGTACTATAGAGGATCTTGACCTTACTGCTGACATGCTAAATTCAGCTAAGTTTTTGATAAAGTTATTTAAATCCTTTGAAACTGTAGTGGTTCTCACCTTTTAGTATAAAGTTCTTCAAGTAGTTGATGAAGTAAGCCGTTTGTATTAGTCAACTTCATTAACTATAGATTTTTTTTTTTTTTTTTAACATTATATTTTTGCTTTTTCATAAGTATTACATTTTACAAAAATGTACAATTAAGTTAATGCCCGGAGCAAGAAGAAGGCATTTATTTGCCTTATCGCCAAGCAGCGTGTTACAATTTATAATTTTTTACAAAGTTATTGAAGAATATATAGTATATAAAAAAAATTGAATAAATGCACATAAACATATACACACATACATATACAAATATATATATATATATATATATTATATATATATATATATATATATATACATACACACAGATATATATATATATATATATATATATATATATATATATATATATATATATATATATATATATATATATTTATATATATGTATATATATATATATATATTTATATTATATATATATATATATATATATATATATATATATATATATATATATATATATATATATATATATATATATATATATATATATATACATATACATATATAACCTTACGGAAAATTTCCATAAAAAAGCCCATGAAAAAAACCATGGTTATTTGGAACACGTTTTTATGGGACACCCATAAGTTTTCAACGAACACCCATGAAGTTTCCATGGGAAATCCATGAGTTTTCCATGGGAATCCAAGAGTTTCCTATGGGAAACCCATGACTTTTCAATGAAGACCCATGAGTTTTCCATGGGAAATCTATGAGTTTCCCATGGAATATCCATGAGATTCCGATGGAAAACCCATGAGTTTTTATGGGAAACCCGTAATTTTTTTATGAAAAATTCCATGAGTTTTTCATGGAAAAGTGTTCTAATTACCATGGATATTCAATGAGATTTCCATCTATGAAAAAAACCATGGAATTTTCATAGGTATTAGGAACACCGTTTCAAGGAGAACTCATGGATTATTCGTGGTAAAAAACCATGATTTGTTTTCAAGTTTTTTTGATCTAATGTTATTTGAACTGTCATATTAAATCATAAAAGCAAATTTTATCACACTTACATTATTGAGTTCTCTTAATCTATGGGATTGCTTTCTCCGAATAAAATCAATAAACAAAATAAAATTTAAATCTTGTTAAATCCTACAAATCTTTGAAAAATAATAGCTAAAATGCACCTAAAACATCAAAACTTGACTTCCCCACAATATTTAATGCATGCATATGTATAACATACTGAAAATAAATAAAAAAAAAAATTACAAGTAATATAATACTATTAGTGATATAGATAGTGATAAACAATTGAAATATATCAAGAAAACAATTTTTACAGAAAATAAAACAATTTACATGTTTATTATTTTATATAAACTATTTGATAAAAATAGTATATATAAATTTGATAATAAGTTTCAACAAGTTAAAAAGAACCATCAATACAACATAATCAATCCAAAAAAACATCAAGCCTATTTACGTGTTACTGCACTGTATCTGTAGAAACAGGCAGATGTCAAACAAAGTACCATTCACATTTTGATATTCATTATTTTTTTCACCGTAGTTAGTCTTATTCTCCATTTCACCAATCTAGACAACACATCATACAACTATTATATACATTCTAACTAGTTTTCTTTATTTACTGATTCATTTTACGTATAATTATTATCTATTATAACTAACTTTATAATTAGGCATTATACACATTTATGAATGTTTCCAAATGATAGGTAACATTTATATAGAAAAAAGTAGCAATGAATATATTATTATTTATAAATAACAATTATTAGATTATTACCTCTTT